CCCATTCTTATTTATTGATCAGATTATTGCGGGAGATCAGTGCTCCATTCAGGGGCCAATTCACCACGTGTTTATTGGATTTAAGAGAACTGTTATTGCTTCAGTGACCTTCTATCTTTACATGGAATGACAGTCAGCTAGTGTATATAGAAATATACAACCTAGAAACTGGGTTATTCTAATATGAGCATTACATGTTAGGACACAGTCCACACAATTAATTATTTCTAAAGGAAACATTTTTTAATATAGAATACATGATTTATTTTTTAAATTCATTTTCATGTAGTTACCTGATGGAAAATATAACCCTATAAAATACAAACACAAATATTGTTTTTCAGAAGGTATTCCAAAGAGACAGCCAGTGACCGATGGTAACTGTACACCTTTGACATCTATATGCTAGTTTCCTCTGGTGTACATTGATAGGCATTGACTGTGGGACACCACTATATATATGGGCTATCACTATATCAATGGACTATCACTATATCAATGGACTATCACTATATCAATGGACTATCACTATATCAATGGGCTATCACTATATATATGGGATAACACTATATCAATGGGCTATCACTATAACAATGGGCTATCACTATATCAATGGGCTATCACTATATCAATGGGCTATCACTATATCAATGGGCTATCACTATAACAATGGGCTATCACTATAACAATGGGCTATCAATATATCAATAGGCTATCACTATATCAATGGGCTATCACTATATCAATGGACTATCACTATATCAATGGGCTATCACTATATCAATGGGCTATCACTATAGCAATGGGCTATCACTATATCAATGAGCTATCACTATATCAATGAGCTATCACTATATCAATGGGCTATCACTATATCTATGAGGTACCACTATATCAATGGGCTATCACTATATCAATGAAGTACCACTATATCAATGGGCTATCACTATATCAATGGGTTATCACTATAACAATGGGCTATCACTATATCAATGGACTATCACTCTAAGAATGGACTATCACTATATCAATGGGCTATCACTATATCTATGAGGTACCACTATATCATGCAATGGGCTATCACTATATCAATTGGCTATCACCATATCAATGAAGTACCACTATATCAATGGGCTATCACTATATCAATGGGCTATCACTATATTAATTGGATATCACTATAACAATGGGCTATCACTATAGCAATGGGCTATCACTATATCAATGAGCTATCACTATATCAATGAGCTATCACTATATCTATGAGGTACCATTATATCAATGGGCTATCACTATATCAATTGGCTATCACTATATCAATGAGGTGCCACTATATCAATGGGATATCACTATATCAATGAGGTGCCACTATATCAATGGGATATCACTATATCAATGGGATATCACTATATCAATTGGCTATCTCTATATCAATGGGCTATCACTATATCAATGAGGTACCACTATATCAACGGGCTATCACTATATCAATTGGCTATCACTATATCAATTGGCTATCACTATATCAATGGGCTATCACTATAACAATGGGCTATCACGTGCACTATATCAATGGACTATCACTATGTCAATGGGCTATCACTATATCAATGGGCTATCACTACATTGTTATAGTGATATAGTGATAGCCCGTTGATATAGTGGTACCTCACTATATCAATGAGCTATCACTATATCTATGAGGTACCATTATATCAATGGGCTATCACTATATCAATGGGCTATCACTATATCACTATAACAATGGGCTATCACTATAACAATGGGCTATCACTATAGCAATGGGCTATCACTATATCAATTGGCTTTCACTATATCAATGGGCTATCACTATAACAATGGAATAGAAAAGTCCTATACACCTTTTTTAAATACAAATCACTCTATTGAGTAAGCAACAACAGGACAGTTCAGCTGTAAGCCTCTGACTGTTGTTTGATTTAGAGATCAAGTTTTAAGTGACAGCTACATTTACAGTCAACAGTTAAGGTTATATATATACATACTTTAGTTTTACAGTGTTTTACTACCAGTAAACAGAAAATATATGTATGGAAAAAAAAGACTCAATATCATTTAGAAGTGTAAGACTTCTCGCAAATGTTTTATGCTGTATAGACTGACTTTCAATAACCCATTATGTAATGCACCTGCATGTATGTTAAACGTCAATTTGCATAAATCAAAAGTGTAACTTTTTTCCTCTCATTTTAAAACAGTTGATAGTGAATTTGAATTAATACATAATTTTTATTAAAAAAAGTCTCCTGATAGACACATATTTTTGATATTTTTTTTTAATTTTGGCATCTCAAGTGATAATATAACATTAGACAGATTAGGGACCATTATGCAGGCATCTAATATGGTAAGTGGATATATGGCCCTGTGATATATATATATATATGTGTATGTATACCTACTCCGAGCAATTGATGATCAGTACAGGAAAAAAGTGTATACATCTTAAGCTTTCTCATTACAAAAAAGAAATCTTGATTGAAATTTAATGAACAGGATTTGTTACCTAAATTAGTATCTGTATAAGTCTGATAATTAATTGCTATCGTCATTGTAGTGTGTGGAAAATAACATCTTATTCTGTTATTTTGATAAAAAGATGAGGTTATTATTCAATTTATTGCTCTGCAAGAACACCTAGCTGTTTTAAATAGTACCAGGTATACATAGGTATCAATATCATAACATAGTTAGCTCTGTGACTTCAGTGGCTGACAAGATCAATGAGCTATAAGCCCTTAATCAGGTCAGGTCCTGGAAACATTACAATGATTCCAGGTATGCCCAGGTATATATGTCTATTGATTGCATGCTCTCCCTGGTGGGGACCATTTGTTGATACAAGACAAGGATCATGTTATTGACAACTTTGTATTAGAATATTATAGATTTACACCTTCAATGGTGTATTGTTTGTCTATGGTATCAACCCTGTTTTCATTTTACTACCAATTAATTCTTAACATTAAAAAAAATAATTGACAAATATATTCATGAATATTTTACCATAGAATGAATTATATTTTGAATACATTTGTTTTTAAATATGTGTAGTATTTTGTTTCTTTTTCTGCCTTTTCTGTGTTTGAATAATAAAAATGTGAACACAGAAAAAATTCAACTGCATAATTATGAAATATATTTTATTTTACTGTAACATGATCAAAATGTACATTGAAATTGCCTCTGTTTTATTTAACTATTTATGATTATGGTCTGTGCATTGCATGGTATAACACTTCTATGAGTTCCATGCATGTCAAAGTTATAATACCTGTGTTTCATCCTCAAAATTTCAGTGGTTAATTGAAATATTTTAAGTCAAAAGATTATTTTTATCCCTTAATAGTGTAACAATTTGATTTCTCTAATTAGACACAACGTATGTGTTGTAATAGATACTTTAGCTATAGTACAGTAAATTACTTGTAGGGTTTTGTTTTCGAAAGACACCACACAGTTCTAAAATTGAGGAAGCAGCGAACACAGCTAGGCCTATCACATAGTGTTTGTACTGTATATTTGTGTCAATATGAACAGTTCAAAATTAAATACTGAGACAGGAATACCTCAACACATCAGCTATTTATAAAGCTTTGTATGAGACGCTCCTTTTTGGCAAATACAGCTTTTCATATCTCACACAAAAGATTTATACAGTGTTGTTTACGAGATTTTAAAGAAGACGTGTTTAATATGTATATACATTTTTCTTATGAACTTAAATTTAAATGAAGTGCTCTGGTCTTTAAACTAATAATGTATTGGGTTAACTCAGGTACATAACAGCATGTAATACGTAAATTTATCATAACTATCAGCAATTTCTAATTCAAGTTTACATAATAGGTTTTGTGATATTAAAAATGTTTTAATACCTATTTTTAAATGCATGTATATACTTGCACTAATAAGACTGCATGACTGTAAGCTTGTGAAGGAGTTATTGAAAAAAGTGTACGGAAAATATATTTTTATATGTTTTATCAAATATATACAATTTTTTATGCATGGCTAATGATGAAATCCATAACTCAATCCAGAAAGATTAAAATAGACTGGTATTCTGATATTTCTGTGGTTAAAATTACAACATATACCTGTAATGTTATGTAAGTTCAATGGTTATTACTTCATTTTCAATTTTCAGTTTTCTTTCCCCATATGTATCCAAATGAAATAACTGGGCAGTTTTACTTGATCAAAATCAGTCTCAAATACAATAATTAACATCATGGCTGTTTCTTATGGGATACAGCTTATATTAGAACTGGTACATTTGGTTTAAAGAGAGACATTGTACCAGGCAACTTGGAGTGAGACATCAGTCTTGACATTTTGAACAATAACTGTATAGTTTTGTTCTTCAATACTTCCTTTCTGAAAAAGTTCCATCCGAACCAAATTCGAAATTTGGAGAAGAGTGACTAGCACAGTGTAAGAGAGAAGACTTTGTGATAATACCAACAGCATAATTTTAATTTCTCTCATATTGCTTTTTTTATTTAATTTATTCATAACATAATTAGCAAAGGCAAGCAGCATCAAAAAATGTAAAATGAAAGTCATATGCATGTTTTCTAAGCAATGCTATGTTTGACATTTACTTAAGACTATTAATTACTTGGACAAATATACAGTTTTAAATTCTTCATGTACATTATATGTCCATGTACAATCTCCAGTTGATTCCCCCTTTCATATATTTGGCTTGATATCTTAACATAAATAGCCTAATTTCTTTTCTGTAGTATTAATCAGAAAGTGTCAAAACATGGTTTGAAAAAAAAAATCCACAACTAGACTACACTTATAATAAGAAAAATATTCCGCCATCATACTAGTAATTAAATGGAATCTACACGTAGGTATATATAATCTCAGGTCAGGCTTATAACACACTGGAAAAATAGTGTATTATTATAATCTTTAATCTAAACATGTTTTTCAAAACTTACCATCTACTTTCTTTTTATCTTTCTCATTCTCTTCTAAATCCTCCACTTGGTTTCCTCCCATATTCTGTATAAAATCCGAAAAAGTATACACTCAGAAAATATGTCCTAGCTAGTTGTGTGTCTGAGTAAAATGTCCCGTGTGTGGGTAAGTGTTTTTACTACCTACTGATAGTTCCAATGACCAAACCTTCATAAAACCTATTGTGTTCCGCTCAATATATAAGGTAGATCATTTAAAAGGCCCAGCTATGGAGGTCTCTTGGGGATAATTCCTAGAAAAAGAAATTCGACTTTCTGTCTTTTTTTTAATTTTTGATAAATAAATGCATGAAGTTCGTCTTAGCACAAGTTCATATATATATTAGCCTGTTAATATTTCCTAATATTCGTATAAAACTATTTAAATGAATTTTGAAGGTGTTGACGGTTCGTCTTAGTGTCCCCTTGGCGAGCCCCCAATATTTAGACTCGATTGTTGTCGTCGTTGCCAATGGAAGGCGGGCCCCCAAACCACGTGACGTAAGGTGGGATTTTAACACAGGTGAATTGATCGGGTGTACAAACTCTACGTCACGATTTTCATACAGGAGAAATTGATCCGGTGTTTTTAGAAAAAGTCAAACAACGACAGTGTGAAAATGGGAGAGGAAGACGAACCTAAAAAATATGGTGAGTTATGGACTTGTATCTACACATCACTGTATCTACATAGACAGCACGTACGTAAATTTTACAACCCGATAACCGAACGAAGGATCCCTATATTTCTTTCACTAACAATATATACATGTAAACAAGGTTATGTACACACGTTATTTACAACAACTTACACACATATTTCATCGTGGTTGACAACTTAGTTTTAGCGTAAGAGGTGTTAAAATTTGGTAAATATTGATGAAACGTACATGGGGTCAACGGGTGCCCTGGGGAGGGATAGTGTAAACAGTTCCGGGTAATTATATATAGGTAACGTACTTGTTTATTTATAGACATTTATTTGCTGTGCAGTGAGTCAGTTGTTATTTTGACACGTTTTATATCCTAGGCTAGTTCTCACATTATTTACATTTCTTATGTTTTAAAATCGGTATACAGATGTCATTATATAAAATATCCCAAATTATGCTCATGTATATATATATATGGCTTTAACAACAATATTTAGATGAAATATTTGACATGCACTGAATATTGGGTTTTGAAACCGTGTGATGCTATATATCAACTTTACATTGCAGCTACACGGGGTCTGCAAATTTGTTACAGCTATATTTGGACCTAAATTATGTTGTTCTGAGTAATTTTACTCGTTTAAGGGTTTTAGTTAAACTTTCGGTAAAAATATGATGTACCCCCAATAATATTATACGATTAGCATTGGGGGTGGCATTTTTACTGAAAGTTCAAAATCTAAACCCTGGCAACGTATAAAACACTGTAACAATGATTCAGGCCCCTGTGATGTGCATGCAACTACTGGGAGGGGGATGTGGGTTAAGATTATGGGCCATTAATTTAACTGTACATATTTATCTTTTAATTACCTTTCTGAATCAGGTTCAAATGAAGCTAGCTTGAAGCTCTTTTCGGTGATAACATTTAGATACGTACATGACACAATTGAAAAACTTTTTTTAAATTGAAGACGGCAGTTACAAATATTTTTTTAATTTCTTTTTGTATTTCAGGTGAAGCTAGAAAACATGACGCGAAATTTAAAGGACCTTTGAAAAATAGGTTAGTATTTTATTTTATTTATTTGTATGTTACATAAAAACTCTTTGTAATTTATATTACAAATTAAAATTAATACATTTGATAATGATCATTCCACTACCACCTCAAAAAAAGGTTCTGATGATGAAGAAAGATTTGCAAAAGTGGTCAATTCCATGAGCGCTACTTTTCATGGATTTCCACGTAAAATGGTTACCACAAAGTCACAAAAATTATAACCCAGCAGAAAAAAAACAACCCAGCATTACAGTACTCTACACTATCATTTCACTGAACTATTTCATTGCATGTATACATTTGAAATGTTATCAGTTTCATGGTGGGGCTGGGGGGATTCAAAATTCCTATATTTGACAATATCCTGTCTGTGGAGACTGGAATATAATATGTACATACATAAATAAAGTTTTAAAATAGATAGTTATATGTATTTAGGATATAAATCAATAAATGGAAACATATGTAGCTATAGGTATGTTAATAATGACAGGCGTGTATTGCTAGGGGCCCTATTGCTGACAAATCTCTTTACCCTACAGGTTGATCATATCTTCACTTATGTGTCTGTATGTTTTCAATCAGTGAAAGTTTATCTATCTGAGCCATTGATGGTTTGATCATACAATCCCAAGGTGATAAAGGTCTACCTATGTGCAGACCGTAACATTTAAGTATAATGGTTAAAGATTAGTTATAGACATTTCTTATTTAAGAATCCTTGTCGCAGTGTTACTAGATATTTATTATTTAAGGTTGCCTGTCCTACTGCAGGGATCACCAGATAATTCCACTGCAGATTTTTCTTGCATATATAGTTGTCTCCCCTTAGTTTTGTTTTGGATATATACACTGCAGTAGCTATATAGGTAGGACTTGCTATTACATCTTTACTATCAGATCACTATGTAATGTCAGTAAATTTTATATTTATTATTTTACATTTATCATTTTTCAAGAAAGTTCTGCAAAGTGGGTACTTTTCTGAAATGATTTATTTTATGAAGCTATTGTCATGATACTTGCCAACTTTCCCAATTCTGGAGAGAAACTCTCGATTTTGACCCTAAAATTGAACATTTTCATCTAGTTACACCTGCCAAACTATTCTTATATATATTAATTATCAGTTCTTATGATTTCATCAGAAAGAATAACTGAAAAGATGCCATTCTATATATAGTTTCCTTTTTCACCTCCTGGTTATATGCACACATTTTATTTATGTTTTTGAATTTCAGCATGCAGAATCTTCTCCGTGATTTTATAAAAAGCTGACAAGCATGTGTCATGTTGGTAAACAAATATTTCATTACAAGTTACAGCTTTTGGCAAATTACAGGGATCCTTAAAAATAAAATGCAATATAAACTTTATTGATGTATTTTTTCCTTTTTCAGATCATGTACAGACATCATCTGCTGTGTATTGTTCCTCGTTTGTATTGTAGTGATGGGTGCCTGCTCTATCATTGGTAAGTAAAAATGGGTCGCCATAGTAACACTGATTTAGTGCTGGATATTTGTGTTACATTTTATGGTTATTGTTTCTGTTCCTTCAATGTTTTTACAGCGTTTACCTACAGATAACCGGGGGAATCTAGTTATTTTTATTACTGGCAAACATAATGGATGACAGTAGTACCCTGATATAAATTAACACATACACATAAGGTATAAATTAGTTATGTACAAAACTAGAAATTGTTGGCTAACAGTTTGATGGTCTTTTCACCGTTAGAACTGATTAAGTCTTTCATCACAAACCTATTTTTAAACCTCACGGTATTAACCCTCTGTGAAGAAAATGATAATAAAAACCATAGTACTGAAAGTAAGCTTTGTTTTTCGTTTAATGTAGATCAAAGTACTGAAAGTCCTCATACACGATTACAAAATTGGAAATACAATTGAAGATTGATTTTTACTGTGAAAATCGCATTTGAGGTTTGTCAACGTCATTCATTGAAATCGCATTAAAGTCCTTCATTTATGAATGCTCTTTACCGAACATCATGTACCTAGGCCTCTTCCTTATTTGGGAGAGGTTGTTTAAGTGTTTTGACATGTTTGACCCTTTTGACCTGAATAGTTGATAAAGGTCAGCCATTTTGTCAAACTTGAGCCAATCACCTGAGCATGTTACACATAAAACATTTATACTCTAGACCTTGTAGAACCTAAGAAGAAGTTTTTCAAAGTTGTTACCTTGAAATAGCACATTTGAAATTTGACCCCTATCGAAAACCAAAAGTTGACCTTTGACACAAAAATATTTCCTGAGAAAATTATGAGCATTTGCATCTCTACATCATACTAGATTAAGGTATAAATGCCTTAAATATTTTCCGAAATATTTTTCTTAAAAGAAATTTTTGCTTTTTTTTTTAAACATTTGAACTCTATGACCTTGAATGTTGTCCAAAGTCAACCATTTTTTTCAAATCTGATAGCCAAACATCTTAGCACCCTACAGATCAAATAGCAAGACTAGACTTTGTAGACCATGAAAAGAAGATTGTTAAAGCTTGTAACCCAAAATGATGTGGTTGAACATTGACCCCTACCGAAAAATGGAAGTTGACTTTTGAAATCCAAAATGTTTCCTGAGAAAAAATATGCAGTTTCATGCCCTTCACACTTTACCAAAATGTAATGTTAATGACTAAAAGAGTTTTCGCAATATTTTGGTGTAAAGGAATTTGAGAATATTTGACCTGTGACCTTGAAAGTTGATCAAGGTCAACCATTTTTTCAAACCTGATAGCCAAACATCTTAACATCTTACAGATCAAATATTAAGACTCTATAGACATTGTAGAACTTGAGAAGATGTTTTTTTAGAAGTTGTTACCCAAAATATCACTGTTGAAATTTGACCCCCTTCCAAAAACCAGAAGTTGACATCTGAGACAAAAATGTTTCCTAAAGAATATGAAGATCTATGCTCTCAACAGCATACTAAAACCTAATGTAAATGCCTGAAACTGTTTTCAAAATATTTTGGTTTAAAGACATGTTTAGCTTTTTTTAACCCCTATGTAACCGAATGGTGACCTTTGACACAAAAATGTTTCCTGAGGAATACATTTGTTTTGTTGCTCGACAAAACACTTCCAAAGATGAATTTAATAGCTTCAGTCATTAATGAGTTATTGCAATTAAGGTTAAAACGGATATGATGTCATGGTGGCCATTTTGTTTTTTTGAATGAAGTCAACAACGTTACTAAATTAGGCAGGGCATCTGGGGAAACTTTAATACTATGTTTAAATGAATTTACCATCATAAACACTGGAGAAATATAGGTTTCAACATGTTTACATTTTTAAAAAGATCAAAGGAAATATTCAAAATGGTGTAGGATGATAAAGGTACATGTTACAGATAAACTGAACACATTAAATTCACTGGAATAGAATTCCTCATTGACTCCAAACAGATTTTTTTTTTAAACTTGAAAATTAAAAAGAAAAAAAAGAAAAAATGTGACCTTTGACCCAAAAGCGAGGATTTTTATTTGACCTTTTTTGTATTAACATATTAATAACAAAAAAGTTAGCCCCAAAGAATATCTACAAATAATATAGTTGCATGAAATCTGTATAATGAACAGTTTTTGAGTTATGACCTTTTTGAGATGGTGAAAAGCCCAAATAAACTGATAATCTCCCTTGATTTTCGGATGATCACTTCTTCATTTTGCAAATTAGACTGTAGGAGTTAATAATTCACTGTGGAATGATTGCCAGTTCTACTTTTTTCTATGGTGTGCATTATCATTATCTATAAGTATTGTCTGGTAGTCCTATCCTTAATCAGGCCCGACATTGTATAGAAGTATATACTATAGTACTCACTGTGTCCGTCCTTCTGTCTGTTTGTCCATCTGTTTGTCCATCCACACTTTCGTTATCAAAAGAGGGGAGTATAATACTTTTATCTTAAATCTTTTTAAAAATGTGATATGGTGATACATGCAGTGTGCATAGGAGTTTGTAAAAGTTCATATTCAAATGTCAAGGTCAAGTCAAAAGTCACTGTGATATTAAGGTGTGTAATAAGGGTTTAAAAAAATTTTTGAAGTCAATTAAAGGTCAAGGTCACTGTTACTTAAAATAGTCCATAGGTGGTATGGTTAGACAGATGGATGGGCCCTTGCTGACCTGCAGTCAGAGTTCTAGTTTTAGCACCCAGTCAAATTAATTTCCATATTTTACGTATTATTTAGAAATTCATTAAATGACATCAAAACGTTTACAGGTCAAACCATACTGCTTGTTTGGAGCAAACCTTTCAACTGGCTAAAATCAATAAAGAATATACCCGATACTTAACCCTTTCACCACTGAATAACTAAAGTAGACACAACCATGCATTGATCTGGACGAGTCCATTATGGTCTACAGTGGTGAAAGGGTTAATTGGCACAAACTGTATAGCTTTCAACACTTTAACAATCAACCTGTTGACTATATGGTACTGAAAAATAGGAAGGTCTGCTCAGTCATACCTGCGTGGAAAACTGCTAGGCCACTTAGCAATTTTACTGAACGCCAGGTAGCAATTTAAACCAAATTAAAATGACTGTATTGCCCTGTTTAAATATTAACATCCTGGTGACTTTAAGTGACTGGATCAAGCATTATCGTTTAATCACTCAACAATCTAGTTGTTATCGCACTCCTCAATAAATAATAAATATTTAAGTTAGTAACTGTGGGGTGTGTCACTGGTCATGATCATGTACGTATACTTTTATTAAAAAAAAACAAAAAACATTTAGGTCATGGAAGTCTGTCTGAAGTTGGAAAAGTATATCTTATATCAGCTTCTGGTTAAGTTGATGTCTAACAGGTATGAAAAATTAGTGTCAAACCTCATACCTGTACGGTTAAGGTCACTCCGAGGACTTTATAAAACAAATTAAAGGTAACTATTCATGCTTGACAAGGGGAAAAACTTCTCTGAACCAATAATAATTGTTTGATAAAGATAATCTTATACCTCAGTGACCTATACATGTATGTTATGAGCAGATTTAGGGAGTATGCAATGATTTTCATATTCCCAGGTCCAGCCCCAGCCCCAAGGTCAAGGCAACATGAAGCAAAGGCAACAGGTTAAAGGTCAATTCACTGTATATATTATAAGGTTTGTTTCAACCAATTACCCCTCAATTGAATTAAACCAAGTTTCTCTACAGCTGCAATTGTACTCAAATAACCACAAGCTAGCAAAGCACACAATATGCACACAACAAAATATGATATCCAAGATACTCCTGTGCTGGGGGTTTTCTCCTTTTTTATGTGTACATGTATTTCGTTTTATTTGCCTAGTAACAATAATAAGCCTATGGACTGTAATAGCTTATCCAACAGAAAGTCACCAGAGTCTATATGACAGATTTCCTGTGATTTTATAATGAAATGAAGACGTCCAATTTATGCTGAATTAAAATGTCCCTATTTCCGCATGCACGTACGTGATGAACCAGAATGTATCATTGTATTAGGTATTCAGTTAAAACGTCTCTCTGCTGAGTATGGATGAGGATCGTTTTATAATTGTAACTTGTATGTCGAGACCCTGTACTTCCTGGTACAATGTTCAAATAATTCAGTGTTAATTGTCTCCGTGCCATAATTATAAACAGCCTAGGACGTGATCTTTTACATGTACAACTTCACAATTGCTGTACTGGTTATAAATATGGACCATATTGTTACAAGTGGAATTGAAGATTGGGATTGACATCCCGATATATATATGTGTACAACTATGTATATATAGACTGTTTTTAGATTTTGACTCGGATCTAGATCAGATGCAGTGCCTTAGAAGTTTATCCTTGTTTGAATTCACTGCACTCAACATGCAGGTCCAGTTAATTATACGTTACTGTCATGAGATATTTTTACAAGCCTGAGTTAAATCAGGAGAAATTAATGGTGTTTCTGAAATTACTCGAATTACATTTGCTTAGTAACAAAATGTGGTATAAAATGTAACATTTATTAAAAATTGAAATTATGCATAAAATTCAGGTATAATAATAATTACTATAGTCATGATGTTGATAATGTTCGATTTGAGTTCCATACATGTGCTTTTTTAAATAATTCAAAAGTTCGAATAATTTAGTAGCTGGGAGAGAACGTAGATCTTGGAATTACATCTCCAACTAATCTGAAAAATATTCAAGTGTCTTGTCAACACTTTTGGCAATATGAATAATTTGACAACCTGTTTGGATTTTTGATAGTGTTTTTATAGGACCTGTACTATTTACTCATAGTGTCATTTTGGATTTTTGATAGTGTTTATATAAGACTTGTAATATTTACCCGCCCAGTCACAAGTTTGTAATTGGAATTCTCGTGCAAACAGTTATTGTACACCTACTTGAAATGATGTCACTATTTGCTCACGAAAAAAAATCCTATCCTTCAGCATATTCAAGGTTTTCTAG